TATATATATATATATATATATATATATATATTATTTTATTTGTTCTTATATTGTCACGGATTCTTGCGTGAGAAATTTCTATGTGGGTTTTACAAGTATCTTATCTTTCATGGAATTTCACCATTTTAAGATGTGAAAACTTTTAGCATAGGTAATACTGAGCTCATTGGAAGAACAGTAATATTAAGATCATTGGAAGAAAGGTAATATTGAGCTCCTTGGAAGAAATGTAACTTTGAGCTCATTGGAAGAAATGTAATATTTAGCTACTTAGAAGAAAGGTAATATTGAGCTCCTTAGAAGAAATGTAACATTGATTTTATTGGAAGAAAGGTAATGTTGAACTCCTCGGAAGAAAGGTAATATCAATCCCATTGGAAGAAAGATAATATTGAGCTCCTTGGATGAAATGTAATGTTGAGCTCATTGGAAGAAATGTAATATTGAGCTCCTTAGAAGAAAGGTAATATTGATCTCCTTAGAACAAAATGCTACTGAGCTATTTAGAACGAATGTAATATTGAGCTCCCTGGAAAAATGTAATGTTGAACTCCTTGGAAGAATGACAGATTGATCTATGTCTTTGTTAAATGATATGTAAACTCCGCGTGGGTCATTTAATGCGAAGACGTATTATGATATAAGTGAATACATGGTTTTTGATACTCAGTGTTTGGGCATATACCTCTTTGTGTGGACATGATCACTTGAGGAATCGATTCATGTATTTTATTTTTGTTTGACATCGCTGTCGGCAGGTCCACCAGATGGCATCCAGATTTAGCTGCAAGTTGGTCAGTGTGGGTGTAAATGGTTTCCACAAGAAGGTGTTACTCACAGGTTTTGACTTACTTCCTAGAAGCGACCAGCTAGATGAAGCCTTCTCTCTCTTAGCTCAAAACTGCCATATGAGGAAGGTGTCTGTATAGGCGTTTCTTTGTTGGGTGTTTCTTCCAGCTGATGTCCAATACAATTCGTAACATCCTTGTGTATGTTCCGTCAAGTGATGCTTCTTGGTGCTTCGTTAGTGTCCATGTTTTTGAGTCATAGAGCAAGACAGATTCTACCATTCTGACATCAAGTCCGTCCAGAAATTTGTTTACCTCTGCAGCAACATCCAGCTAAGGGAGAAAGACATCGAAATCCGCAAAGACAAGGCCGGGTGTGTCCTATATGGTCTGAGCACCATCTTGAAGTGCTTCTTCTCTGAAAATCTTAAAAGGACTTTTTAAGGCCACGGTAGAATCTGTCTTGTGCTATATTAAAAACCTTCTGCTCATTGTTGCTCTATGGTAGGTTTATTTTTAAAATTATATTTAGTCAGTGTAGTTAGGATTTGACTCTTGGATAAATATTTGAAGTACCATGTGCGGGCGGAATTTATTACTCAGAAGTCATTGTCTTCGAGAAAGATTGCAAATCATTATGCCACAACGAGGCACCGAGATTTGCATTTTTTTTAATAAGGCAATAACTATGATTTTTCGTTTTTTTTCGGGTAGATGGAATGATGTTTGGCTGAGAAAAGGAAAGCAAATAAATAGAGGGAGGAAAAAGAAAAGGAAAGAAAAAGCGTGAGGGAAAGATAGGGAAAGAAAGAGAAAACAGAACACTTTAAATTGCTGCGGATGTTGTAAGTTCTACACACCAATTTCCAGGATAAACTTGAAATATTCTGTCTTTTAATTTCCTTCTGGTTTTTGTCTTTTTTGTTCGGTTAACTTCTCTTTGAAGTGAATTCATTTCCGTCGGATGAAACTAAAATCGCTCTTTCCAAAATATTGCGCTAATTTGTACGTCATTTTATCTTCTTTTTATTCTCATAGCAACATAAGATTTGCTAAAGTATTTTCTTTCAGGTCACTAACTTAGCTTTGTTTGGCACAAGGCTAAAACCAGGTATGAAAATTGGGTTACGTTAACATTCCTACCTATTATTAAATGGACAAAGTCCGACAAATATTTTAAGACATTTTTTTATGTTTATACATTCTTTTTATAGATATAAACAGAGCATTTACTTAAAGATCTTATCTATATTTCTATATATGAAATCGGTAAAAGCACGTCAGGCTATATGACGGTTCCGTATAGGATACAGGTTCGATTCCTGTCGGAGGACACATATTTTCTATGACAATTTCTCGGACATTCAGGCCGGTAAATGTTGTTAATACTGTTTATTATAAACAGATCATTTACATAAATATTTGTATGTATAAAAAAGAATGTATAAGCATAAACATGTCTTAAAATAATGTCGGACTTTGTCCATTTCATAATGTGTGACGTCATTTGTTTACATTTGGATACGCATGGAGCAGATATGAATATACGAGAAAAAATCATGGAAAATTTTAGTTTAAAAACAGTAGAATCGACCTGGCTAACCGAAACGCTCCTCTTTGGCTAAATCGGTAAAACACGTCAGGCTATATGGCGGTTCCGTATAGGATACAGGTTCGATTCCTGTCGGAGAACGTATATTTTCTATGAAGATTTCTCGGGCATTCAGGCCGGTAAATGTTGTTAATACTGTTTATTACGAACAGAGTGTTTACTTAAATATTTGTATCAATAAAAAGAATGAATAAACATAACACATGTCTTAAAATATCTTACCTATCTACAAAATCGGTAATCAAATATACTGACGCTTTAGATGGGCACAAAATCAAACATCACTCACCAGTGTTCCTATATCATTTATATAAGTCATTTATAGTCATTTACATGTTATCTATATAAGTCATATATATGTCATTTATATAAGCTGGGTTGTTATGCAGGATACGATGGATAAATTGGCGTTTAAATTATTCAAAATGAAAATAACATCTCATTTTAACAGATATATTTAACAAAATTACACAAAAATATCTCGAAACATTAAAGAGTACATTTGTTGATTAAAATCTCCATTACCTCCAGACGACCTCGGAACTTCCTGCATCTTTTCTGGACCGTTAGCTTATTGGTGAATGCTGCCATAATGCTTGCCTTTAGTTCATCTTAGGTGTTAGAATGAAGTTTTTTGGTCTCTCGTTCAACTGCGTCCCACACATAATAATCAAGGAAGTTGTATTCTGGGGAATTAGCTAGCCAGATGTAAGGAGTGCTGTGGACGCAGAAATTGTCTGATAATCATGACTGGGTTCTTCTCCTTATGTGGTATACTGCAGAGTCCTATTGCCAGACATAGCGTCTACTAGCAAACACCCTCTTGATCCAGGGCAACATTACCTCCTCAAGACACTCGGTGTAGGCCTCTGTGTTCAGTCTGAGAACCTCACCAACAAATTCGGGAGTTCTTTTCTTATCAGAAAGACCGGAGAGAGCTTTTTGGACTGCCGTACCTTCGTAATCACCATCAGACTCATCGAACTCTTTCCGAATCCTCTTCCGCCTCCACTTTGGTGAAGTGAATTGCGTCATGGCTCTCCTTTTCATACAGATGGTGCCCAATTGACCCTACTATACCGTGCAGTCGACAAAATCAAAAACAAACAAATCGCCTGCGTGAAATTAAAAATATAAAAAGGCGACAATTTAACGATCGCGTCATCTATATATCAACCCTATAGACACTCCTGTTGAGCATTGGACAACAGCCACACTACGCTCGGCTTGGTTGATTTTTTTCCGGGTTAGCTTTACCTTGCACACCCCACATCGGTTTTGAAATTATAGTTTTCCAAACAAAATAGACAGAGCCCAGTCTGCCCCGGAAGTAACCCCTATTTGAATGTGGGGATGGATTCAAACCTTTCCAAAAGTATTTTTGCGAATTCCTGCAATTGAACAAGCCTATCCGATTTTCGCTCCGATAACCACTAAGTTACAGGTAGACACAATCTTACTGGTTTAATCCAGTTTCTGTCAACATAGAGGTTCTGCAAATCGTAGAGTAAATTCCTAGGCAAGCTGTACCAGAATTAGCAAACCAGTTTAATACAACTCACACTTAGATATAAAACAAATCGTATTCATTGACTCAAAAATGTCTAAATTTGTTAAAGGGATTCCTTATCATATGAACCTTACTCAAATTGATCAAAGAGTTCCCCTGTTTAGGTCATTAAAGAATAAACTTGCTACTGAAACTTTCCTAACCAGAATCAGCACTAATGTTGACAATAGAATTCTCTATAATCATAACTTTAAAAAAAATGGCAATGGTCCTCATCTACTGATAAAAGGAGACACCGTGTGCGGACAGAATTCCTTACTCAGAAGATATGTTTTTAATCAACTCTCCCCAACCAAACAAGGCAATAATGTTACTAAGATGCAAGGGGCTACTGGGAGTGAAAGAAAATGAAAGGATTTTAGAAGGAAGCTTTCAGACGGAGACGTTAAAATTATAGAGTTGAAGTAGACATTAGAAGGAGCCGGAAACCCAATCCTAAATAGGAAACAAGGGATAAACATCTGCATCTGTACAAAATATTGGACAGACGTCTGAACTGGAATTTGTCGAACATAACGAGAAGAAAGAAAAAAATAGTAAATAAAATTTCAGAGCTCAGACTGAGACATTACAAGTATAGAGTTGAAGTAGTCTTTATAAAGAATCGGAAACCTAATCCTAAACAAGAAACAAAGGATAATCCCCTACACTTGTTTAAAACACTGGGGATAAGTGCGAAACAAACGATAGGCGAAACTATCTACTCCTATTGTGAGTAAAAAATAACTGAAAAGGTTATGGTTTGAATTTGGTGGGATATAAAAGATGGCTTGTAAGACGAAGTATTGAAAGCAAACTAACCGGTTAATACCGATAAGTATTGGGAAGTACTTAAGAAGCATTTACAGAAGAAAAGTTCCAGTCATTGGTTAATTGTCACCAAGAACAGATTACGGAACTGAATGCCTAATTTTAAATCATCCTCCTTACTCTCCTGATCTTGCTCCATCCGACTGTCATCTTTTTAGACCATTCCAATATCATTTAAAAGGAAAAGAGCATATCAAAATTAAAAACCGAAAAGGTTTACGGTTAAGCGATCAATAATTTGATAGATAGATAGATAGATAGATAGATAGATAGATAGATAGATAGATCGATAGATAGATAGATCGATAGATAGATAATGAACAGAATAGATAGATAGATAATGAGCAGAATCTGATAGATAGATAGATAGATAGATAGATAGATCAGAAACAATTTGCATGATTTATTTTAATTTACGGGATCAACAGAGTGAAATAGTGAAAGAAGAATATGCTGCGCCAATCTTCCAAGTGTTGTGCTTTGGTTTAATTAATGCTGTAATATTAGAATCTTGCAATGCAATACAGTGCAAATGAATGAATTATAATGAATGTTTTCATGCGATGAAATCAAAACTTGTTTCATTCTTAACACTTGTCAGTGTAATGGCTGAAGGCAAAAGAAAATGAAATTTAGAAAAAGGTAATTACAATCTTTGAAACAAATGCATGCTGATTGCCAGCAATAATTATTATATTTTGATTAAACTATATAAATGCGTACGTCCCTATTATTCCCTTACCATTCAAACCTAAATTTAAGCAAAAGAATTTCTTTAAAAAAAAAAAAAGATTCCTACCTAATCCTGACGAAATATTCAATGCCATGAATGCCAATAAAACGGCGGGTAATTGGCAGAAGATGCTTTCGTAAAACCTAGATATTTATCTTTCTTTCCCAAATACATCTACATTGGGAGCCCCACAGCGGCCAGTCGGGAATGGTGTATGGCTAAAGATATCAGCGGCTGCGATGGAAGTTTAACAAGTAGGTGTGTTAAAGCACAACACTAGGGAAAGGGAGTAGTTGTAATCTTGCCATAACAGGCGACTTACATCCGTCGACTTAATAAAGAGCGGACATCTTAACTTCTTGACATAACTACACACACACACACACGCGCACAGACACACTAACACACAATATATTAAGCATTAGACAGATAGATAGATAGATAGATAGATAGATAGATAGATAGGAGCAGATTAACATAGATAGATAGTTAGATAGATAGGAGCAGATTAACATAGATAGATAGATAGATAGATAGATAGATAGATAGATATCAACGTATTGAGATAGATAGATAGATAGATAGATAGATAGATAGATGAGGTGGTGGTTTCTGGCAGAATTTCTGGGGTGAGTGGTTATCGCTATTTATGCTATTTATATTCAGTCCTCATCTCTGTTGCTATTACCGCAATGTTTCAGTTACTATGCCTTCTGGCTTTCATCTGATTAACCTACAGGGAATTCTCAACTGAACCCTTTATTTAATCCTACGCGCATATACTGTTCTCATTCCATTGACTGTCAAGAGATATCGCCTAATTATTTTTAGTACTGCTCAGTTGTTGCTCGCCCCATTTCCACTGAGTCCAAGTACACACCGCCCGGCCCAGCGATTGAACTCAAAATTAATATGTCACCATATGCATTAACTCTTTAATCCGCTAAGGAAGAACAATTCGTTGTAGCGAACTTGAAACCTTAAACCTAACCTGACTGCTGATTAGTGCTGTTAATTCAGCTGCTCTTGATGCCTGTCGTTATTTTGATTCCTACTTCTGTTGGAAACTTCCTGTCATTTGTCTGACCTTCTTTATTAGTGGCTCCCATATTTTAATTATTTCTGTGCTAGGCCTACTAATGGATAAAGATTGGTTGATGTTATTGTTAATATATATTTACTAGACTTGTCTAACTTGGTACATATGTATATGTTTCATGGTCGAATTGTTTCTCTTACACCATAATACAAGACAAACTATTCTTGGACTCATACAAGAAGAAATCATGACACTAAATATGGATGTGTTACTTCATTCTCCTTACTCTCCTGGCCTTGCTCCATCCGGCTATCATCTTTTCATATTTCGGTGCCATACTCTGTCAAAACAAAACTAAAAGTCCTGCCGTATGTACACTAAACCCAACAGTCTGCAGTGGAAGTCTTGTTGCCTCATTTACTCTGAGTTGTGATGTGACTGTCCTGAAGTTTTTTTACAAGTGTTTGACTTTTCATTTGACCAATGTTGCCAACATCAATGCATCACCAACACAACACATTCAACACACGCACAGCAATTCTCCCAAATAATACTTCAGTCTCTCCTCTCTTCCATGACCATATTGAACAAAAGGAGTAAGCGTACTTCTCTATAGCATGAAACCTGATTGCATTGGTCGCTTTCGCTGACCTTTATATATATTTAAACTTCTCTATTCGTTGTCTTACGACCATATCACATAAAACACTGATTCCCATACGATCATCAAAGTTAAGAAACGTCGAGCCTAGACTATATGACCGCTTAGGAATAACAGGTGCCATAAGATTTGAATGTGTGGATGATGTAATGGATAATGCCTCGGAGGGTCAAGATCTAATTTCAGTTTTGTTCGTTATATTCATCTACGCGCAATTAACTACTAGAAAGATGTGAATCTAATTCTTCTATCCTCTAGCTATGGGTTAATTACTACGACTTGTAGCATTAAATCATTATTACTCCCCCAAAAGTTCTTATAATCTAAAAATAACCTGCAAAAGGTTGATAATGTTAAATAATAGTTTAGCAGATTAACATTTTTAGGGGGAATGGTATCTCAAGTCGCACTTCATAAGGTTGATCTTTGGGGTCAGGTGGAAGACAAAACAAGGAAGCCGATTTTGATTGGCTGAACGAGCGTGAGAACGATAGCTACGGAGAAAGGATTTTCAGCAAATTGTTTCTTAACCGTCGAACAATGTAGACGTGTCCGGAACTGCTCCCCAGTGGAGTGGGGAGCGACCCCACTGGATGACTAGAAAATGTAAACGTCGAGGACGTTAACAAAAAATAGTTAAGTAAAATTATTTTTGTTGACGCCTTTTAAATCTTGATGCAAAAAATTTCGCAACCCCCACCCGGGAAAAGACGAGAAGCTTATCGTTGTATATCTTCTCTCTCTCTCTCTCTCTCTCTCTCTCTCTCTCTCTCTCTTCTGAGAGTGGGTATACAACAATAGTCCATAACCAAAAATCAAACAGTACTTGTATTTTTTAAAAATCTTCACTTCGTAGTTTGCACCTAGGGCTGTTCCACTTAATCGTTCTTTCATACTTTTTAGGTGTAAGCAAAAACATTTTCCCATAAAATTTGCTATCCAAGAGTCAAAATCGTGTTCCACGGTATAATTGATAGTCAGTTCTTTCTTCTCGTCTTATCTTGTCAGGAAGGTTCAGTAATTATCTTTCTGTGTCTGCGCAAACTAATGTAAGAGGGTTAAATACGTTGTTTAATTAGTCTTAATTCTGCCACAGATTGTATGCGAGATTAATCTTTGCTCTATTGTAGATCTCTTATGTTTGATGCTGGCTACAATGAATTCGATCAAGTAGATGATTAAGTCTGTGAGATTCTCAGTGAGGAACAAACTTTATTTACTTGCAATTTTCTAAGGGAGTAGTTTACTAAACATTGTTTTTAAGAAGGTTTATCGTGGTATGAGAAAAGAATTTCTAATTTTTAAAACAGTTTTACAAATCCATCTTTAGTTATTTCGCATTCGTCAAAATTGATTTTGTTTTATTTTTTTTTCTCAGCGTCTGTTTTTTGCATCTTTAATTTTATTCTACGTTTTCCTCCTTCTACCATTTATCGGTTCTGATTCCTTTACTCAATTTCTGTTTCGTTCTGAAGTTTTTAAATAACAGATTTTACTAAAGAAACAAAGCAAAAACTAAAAAAAAGACCTTTCAAGATTTTTATTTCCTTTTATTTGTGTGTCTACGAGTGTTATGAATGATTATTATTATTATTTATTGTATGACGCTTATTTATTTAAGATTCAAAGTATTTCACGAGATATTTGCTTGAAAAGCAGACGTTGTTTTTAGTTGGAGCACAAAAAATATTCGCTAATAAAGATATATCAACATTGTAAATAAATATTATTATTCTTTCATTCGAAAGATTAATAAGGTCAGTCTTTAAAAAACGATAACATTGTATCTGTTTTTATGTTTCTTTTCGACTCATTATAAAGTTCATATCTATCTATATATTAGCAGTTCTTCGACTGGGTCTTTCATTACTGGGAATTTTTGCCGTTCATTTGGAGTAGTTTAAGTTTAAAGTCAGCCCACCCGAAAATCAATATTAGTAACAACATTTGGGTGCAACTGAGGCACATCTCCAAATAGGGGGGGTACAATTTGAAAGCGGGGAGGGGGCTGAAAAGGGCCGTTTTTGCATTCTCAATCTTGCAAGGAAGGAACCTCCTCCATGGACCGTTACGACGGAAGGAGAGAATTGGGGCGGGGAAGAATGTTTCTTCAGAATGTAGATGCATTTTCTGTTGTTATTCAATGTGCTGGAAATGATGCCATTTCAAGTTGGGGGGGGGCGATGCGGTTGAATGTGGCCTGTGAAAGGAGAGACAGAGGGACTGATTAGCATAAGAAAGACATATGTTTAAATGAAAGCATGGAAGCTCACTCTATGCAGCAACCTGTGTAGAATTCTACAGCACCTTGCTGTAGATGACGTAGCGTGTTTTCGCTCCGGGAGCGTGTATGTTCAGGTTTGTGCTGTTGCCAACTCTAGAGCAGCCGACGTAATGTTTACCGTGTGAAAAATATGGTTCTCTCCGTGCGCTTTGGCATTCAGTCTATTTTGACGGGTAGCAGATGACTCCGCTGACCGTGCGATAGCAGTAGAAGTAATATTCGATTGCAACCGATTTCCGCACTGCCCTTCGGTTTCAGTAGCAAGTGCAGCAACAGTTCAAGAGTCATTTCTTATCAGCCATTGACTCCTATAAAATTAGAGTTCTCAGTATCACGCATAGCAGCATTTGAGGAGGCCGTTCTCCTTCGATTAGCCGTTTCAGCCTCACGCGCAGAGGCAGTTGAAGAAGCTTCTCTCCTGAGTCCTTTGATCATCATTTTCATCCTCACGCACACCAGCATTTGAATAGGCGTTTCTCCTCAGCCGTTGAGTCCCTTGATCAACATTTTCAGGCTTGCGCGCAGAAGCCTTCAGGTATGCTCATCTGGAAAGCCGATGGCTACGTTGATCTTCGGACTCAGTGGCTCTAAGTGAAATATTCCGAGAGGCATTATGAGACAGGCGACCTGAACGTTCGTTATCCTTTATTCGCATAGCGGACCTGGCAGCAGTTGTTTTGCAG